CAGGGCGGTGAGCAAGCCCCTCCCCAGCTGTGCAGCCTGCCAGAGGGTTAGGGATATGGATGGTTAAGGAGTTACCTGATCAGCATCGCCCTTGCGCCCTTCCAGGGGATGCTCCCCAGTTACGGTTAACCCATGGGGCTGCAGCAGGGGGAAGGGGGTTCTCCAGCCCATCTGCGGAGTAGCCCCTGTCAGCGGCGAGCCCAGCCCATCACGAGCAGCACCACGGGCCAGGTGGGGGCTGGCGCGACCCCTTCCCGCCCACTCTAAGGAGTTACCTGATCAGCATCGCCCTTGCGCCCTTCCAGGGGATGCTCCCCAGTTACGGTTAACCCATGGGGCTGCAGCAGGGGGAAGGGGGTTCTCCAGCCCATCTGCGGAGTAGCCCCTGTCAGCGGCGAGCCCAGCCCATCACGAGCAGCACCACGGGCCAGGTGGGGGCTGGCGCGACCCCTTCCCGCCCACTCTGTGTAAGGGGCGAACCAGTTGGACACAACGTTGACCCAGTGATCTGCTTCATTGGGGTTTGACAGGCCTAGCAAGACCCCGAGGTTCGGGTCGGGGTTAAATCAAAGCCCACGGAGAGCCTCATCCTGACACGAGACTTCTTGGGGGGATGTCAGGCCTTGTGGATAAGGGAAGAGCTGTGGATGGGGGGTACCTGGACTGTAGCAGGGCCTTGGACACAGTCTCACATGACCTTCTTACCTATAAACTAGGGAAACACAACCTCGATGGGGCTACTATAAGGCAAGTGCATAACTACCTGGATACCTGTTCTCAGACAGTACCGTATTTTAGCGCGTATAACCCACGGGTTATATGTGCTTTTACAAACCCCGCTTCCCTGCCCTCCCCCCGTGGGGTATACTTGGGTGCGGGGTATACAATATTTTTTTTACTCACCTGGTGAGTTCCTGCGCAGCCTCCTGGCGGGGGAGCGTTCATCCCCCTGGTTCCTGCGCAGCCGCAGGAAGAGGCGGGGGAGCGCTCATCTCTTGGTTCATGCACAGCCGCAGGAACCAGGGTATGAGCGCTCCCCCGCCTGGAGGCTGGCAGCTGCACAGGAACCGGGGCGTTTAGGCTGGCTAATCCCCTCCCCCCCAGCACCGTAAATTAGCTAATATACCCTGGCACGCTTTGAAATAAAAGTCTTGTATACCTTGCGGGTTATACTCGTGCGTGGGGTATACACGATTTTTTTTACTCAGTTCGGAAAAAACGTGGGGTATATTCGCTAAAATATGGTAGTTGTTAATGGTTCACAGACATGCTGGAAGGGCATAACAAGTGGGGTTCCACAGGGGTCTGGTTTGGGACCGGTTCTGTTCAATATCTGCATCGATGATTTAGATGATGGCACAGAGAGCATGATTATTCAGTTAGCAGATACCACCAGGCTGGGAGGGGTTGCGAGTGCTTTGGAGGACAGGGTCAGAATTTAAAATGATCTGGACAAACTGGAGAAATGGTCTGAGGTCAATAGGATGCAGTTTAATAAGGACAAATGCAAAGCGCTCCACTTAGGGCTCGTCTAGACTACATCCCTCTTTCGAAAGAGGGTTGTAAATGGGCGCAATCGAAAGTGCAAATGAAGTGGGATTTAAATATCCTGCGCTTCATTTGCATATTTGTGTCCGATCGCTGTTTCGAAAAAGGATATTTGGAAAGTGAACCCGCAGTCTAGAGTACGGGTTCTTTTGAAAAGGTTTTTTTTTCCCGAAAGAACCGCGTCATGATTTCTTCAGTGCAAGAAGAGACGGTGTCTAGTTGTGGTAGGTAACCTGCGAAACTCCAGCCTGTCACATGCTTGCCTCTCAGGTTACTAGTGCCGAGACCTGGCATTCTGGGTTGTCCTAGTCTCTCCTTGGTCTCCCCTGTCAGGTCCAGCAGCAGCAGCAGCAGCCGCCACCGACCTCAAATAAGCGTCCCAGTAACAGCACCCCTCCGCCCACGCAGCTGAATAAGATCAAGTATTCTGGAGGGCCCCAGATTGTAAAGAAGGAGCGACGGCACAGCTCCTCCCGCTTCAACCTGAGCAAAAACCGGGAACTGCAGAAACTCCCTGCCCTCAAAGGTAAGGGCCCGGCAGGTGGGGGTGGGGAGGGCACGTCTGACGTCTCAGCTCTGTGTGGCTCAGAGCAGAACCGGCACAGGTCGGAGGTCACGTTGGAGTCAGCCCAGCTACAGTTGTGCTAGCCTTGGTGCCCACGGTACCGCCGTGAAAGCAGCTTCCCCTTCCTCAACCCTTTGGGGCCAAGAGCCCCCAGTGAGGCGCTCCAGAGGCCTGGGGAAGTGTTCCTGGCCCATTGCTGACTGGCTGCACTGATGTCACAGTGTCCTCGTGCTGCTCCTGTCCCCTCTGGTGGCAGAGTAGCGGGTGGTTTGTTACCGTAGGGCCTAGGCCCCCCCGCGTGAGGCACTCTGCCGGCTAAGAACAGAGACGGCCCCTGCCCCGGAGATCACACAAGCGTATAGACAGACGGGAGCTGCAAGCACACGATGACAGTCCTGAGCGGTGTGTGAGGTGGGAGCTGAGCCCTGCAGGCAAAGCAAGAGCCTCGCCCCCCCCCCCTTCCCCAGTAAGCAGAGGGAGCCCCCGGAGTGTTCTCCCGGCGGGACAGGAGTGCAGCAGGTCCGGCCACAGCTCTCCAGTGCCAGCGTGTGCCCGCAGGCTTCTCCCTCGAGTTCCAGAGCACCTCCCCTTGGTGCTAGAGGGTTACAGAGCTCCTCCCTTTGACTGTGGGGCTGTCTGCCTTCCCCCCTCCAAAGGTGATGCAGCCAGGGGGTAGGAGAGTCTGGGTCTTGCTCAACCTGGAACCCCATGCAGCACCAGTGTCCTCCACATCCTACTTCGTTTGTCCTCCAGGCCGCTCTCCTGCTTTCAGCCCCCTCTCGCCTGGGAACCCGTGGAGATCCCAGCCAGACCACAGTGGCCTTCCCTTGCGTGCCCTTTGCCCCCCGGTGGGCTGTTGGCCTCTTTAGATCTTGCTGCTTCTGGGGGAGCAGGGACCTGCCTCCCTTTCCTGCTCGCAGCCACGAAGAGGCAGGTTAGAGGTGGGGCCCTGACCTGCAACAGGCTCGGCTCTCCCTGCGGGAGGGCGCTGTCCCAGGCGGGTCTGTTGCAATCCCACAGGACGATTGCCGCTCCAGCGAACATCTTGAGTTGGCTTTCTTCTAGCTGGCGTGGGGAAGTGGTGGCAGCACACGCTTCAGCCTGCCAGAACGCTGGTAGTTTGCCATGGGGCTGGCCCACGCTGCGCCGGTCCCACAGCCAGCTAGAGTACAGCGAGCTTGCGGTGGCTACTCGAGTTGCATGCCGCCATGGGGGTGTAGACACAGCGAAGAGGAGGTGACAGCTACGCAGGCTGTGCTAAATGAGCCCCGCATGTGGACGCTTTTCCTCCAGCGTAACAGGTTCTTCTT